AGCGGAGCGGAGCGGAAGAATCTGTCCAAATTGGGAAGTTACGTGGGTTGGGGTGCGGGGGCAAAGCCCCGCGGTTTGGTACAGGGGTAATGTTGTAATTACATATTGTGCCTAGGTTTACTCCTGGGGTTATAAATAGGCCTGTTAGTAACCCCAGGAGGTATTCTGAATTCTGTAAACCCTTTTCTGATTATTGAAAGGAACTCGCTGCTCTGCTCCCGAGGACGTAGGCATCTTTGCCGAACCTCGTTAAATCTCTGTGTTCTTCTGAATTTGTATCGATTACTGTTTTCTTCGCCCTAATTTTCTCAACAATGAGTTAAGGAGAATAAGCATACATGACAATATTAAGCAGTGGCTACAATTAGTATAAGGAGAATAAGTATACATGACAATATTAAGCAGTGGCTACAATTAGTAAAAGTGTATCCTGTCTTGGAATTTAGTGGGTTGACATCAGCGTGAGCGCAGCAGAAGCATTGTGGCCCCACCCACATTTCCCGTGCATATCAACATGGTACATGCCAGGTTTTCAAAAATCAAAACAGCTAAATATTAATTCTAAGCAAATTTTAATTTCAGTGTAGAATTATTTCATCCAGAAATAGAGTGAAAGCAAAGTTGACTGTGGAAAACTTTAGAAAGCTAAATCCACATATTATAATAAAAACTAGGTCTATAGTACCTATTAAAGAGGAAACTTTAGATAATAGAGTTCGATTGTTTGAATATTCAAATTGAAGACCATGAATGATTGGGGTGAGGAGATGCATTTATGTGAAATACATAAGAAGTTAATGTGGAAAACCAATGCTAGTAGCTCGTAAGAAAGCTAGTAAGCCAGAGTTGAAACAGTTATCCTCTTGATGCAATCCTTTCTTTATTCGGTTTTTCCAAAAAGCCAATGTCAGTTATAATTCGATGGAGAGAAATATTGGTTAATGAGTTAAGGAGAATAAGTATACATGACAATATTAAGCAGTGGCTACAATTAGTAAAAGTGTATCCTCCAACTAAAAAAAAAGTAGTATCGGAAATGCTTAACCTCAACGACTAAGAACAAATATAATATAAACATGCACAACATTTTTTTTTCTACGTAGGATGCTTTTAAGACATTAACATAAAGCATTTTCAACATCAAATAAAAAACCCTTCTGTGCTAATCACCTAATTTTGCTGGTAACAATGAGAAGTTTACTAAAATAACAAGGTATGAGATGGTCATCTGGAACTATAGGGGTTCATTCTAATTTCATTTTAGTAAAACTGACATGAATGAATGACAAAATAGCCTCTTCTTTAACCATGAGCTTGCCGTACAGGAGAAAATTGAGATTCCAGTATTCACTAAAGGCAACTCTCAATAAGAATCACAGAGCATATTCAAACAGGCCTGGCCTTCCACAGCACGTCATGAACCTTTCTTCAAACAGTTCACATCAGTGCATTTGTGCTTTATCTAATTAACCTATTCCTCAAAAAGAAAGCCTTCGAGAAGAATCATATAGCAGCCCAAACAATCTTGGCAGTCTAAACATCTCTTTTACCTTTCAATTGCATTGCAATGTTTCCATAAAAGGGAATTCAGCAGGTATGAAATTTGTGCTTTTGCAGGTCAACCAAAGGATTCTTATCAATTTTCAATGGGATGTTATCTCAGTTAAAAACAACATAAATAATCCAGTTTACGTGTATATGTCATCAATCAATCATGTCCAAGGAATAACCAAACAAGTGATATTTTCAAGATGTAATGATTTTATCAGTCTGATAAAACAATATAGTATATTTGGGCCAAAAAGTGAACGAGAATCAAAGGCAGCTCAAAACTATGGATCATGTATCCCCAATTCTTAAGGTGTATAGTTTTTGGACAACATATAGAACCCACTATGATTATTGGCTTTTCATTTTCTTAAACAAGGTCAAGTCCTCTGTATTTGGAATAAAGTCAAAACCCTTGAAGTAGTAGTTTCCAGCTATAAGCTTGGAAGGATCTAAAATAAATCACCACGGAAAAATTAAGAAGTTGTGTATATATTTCTCAATAAATAAAATCAACAGTTATTGAAGCATAGTAGGTTGAATATGCAAGCAAATTCCTTCTCACTTACCCAATCAGTCTTAATAGCTAACATAATCATCTACATGAGATAAGATCTTGTGCAATGGCATATCAAAACAATTCTAAGGATGTTAAGCATCCCCTGCAATAGTAATACACTACCAACTCAAAATAAACAAAAATTACCATAAGTTTACAGATCTGCATCCGATAATTCAATATTTAGTGCGCAATCAGTGGTAATCTGAAGAGATGCAACAGAAATGGCGGGAAAAGACACGGGAATGGAAAGCTAGCAACAAAAAATCCTGCCTGGAGAGTACCCACTCATCTTCGAAATACTTAAAAAAGAACAATCAGCAGAAAACTCCAACTCACATATGCCATTTGCTTCCAATCTAGTACACCCCCTAACTCAGATCCCGATCCTAATGATCAGAACTAAAAAACGACACGTGAAAAATTAAAGCAGACACAAGTGTGTACGTGCCACAGAAAAAGAGAGACGGAACGCTCACCAGCCTTCATAGAAGCGTCAGACTGCGCGATCTTCCTCGCCATAGCCGCAAGAAGCGCGATCCCGTGTTCAGCGGCAGCGACGGTGTTAGCGGTAGGCGCATTGACGACAAGACAACCGTTCTCGGTGGCGGCCTGCAGATCAACATTGTCGATACCAACCCCAGCCCTGCCGACCACCTTGAGCCTGCCCTTCGCCGCCTCGAAGACCTCTCGCGTCACCTTGGTACCGCTTCGCACAACCAGCGCGTCACATAGAGAGATCTTCCCGCAGAGCTCCTCTGGCGTGAGATTATACGAACAATCAACGTTCGCAAACTCCCGAAGCATCTCAAGTCCAGCATCTCCCAGCTTCTCCGACACCAGCACCGTCGGCTTTGCTGCCCCGCTCCCCGACGCAGCCGTTGCTGCAGTCCTGGTAAATCCCTCTAAACTCCTCGGACCGCAGATGGCAGGGATCTTAGGAGAATAAACCGCAAGCCGGAGTGTCTGTCCGAAAAAAGGAGCTCGGGATTGAATTCTATCGAAGGAGATGAAAGAGGAGCATGTGGCAGGTAAAGGGTGGCGGGAGGAGAGCGCTGGCGAAGGTTTCGTCACGAAACCTGCCCTCAAGGCCGTGGATGCCATGGATTTCTTTCTCGGAGTGGGGGCAAGAGTCCAACAGCACCAACTCAAGATCAAGAGGACTCCGCCTGCCTTGGTTCTTCTGTCGGAAATGATGCTCCTCGGTATTTATACAAGGGAACAAATAAATTTTTGAAGGCTTGTTGGAAAAGTAAAAGTTCTCGGTGAGGACATATCCACGTGGCTCTTCGTGATGTCACAAATATGATTTGGAACGATTTATCAG